TGTATGCATTGTTGAGATGCAATGCATAACCTTACGGCATTTTTCTATGCGTATTCTTTAAGTGTCTTCTTACTTGATTTTTGTTTTCTAATGGGATCATAGCCTTAAGANGCTCTANTCTCAAAAGTGATCACTGAAAGACTACTATCCTTAGTGTTATTTTGTTGAAAGAGTTCGTATTATCGTAGTCGGTGGTCANATAAATTCCTATCATTANTTCNTCGTCTCTGAAACCAACGATCCCCCTCATCTCATATTTGGAGACGTGGTTTAATTTTAAATGTATCGAAATGATTGGATCATCATTTCTTATAGTGTTTATTTGTTTCCCAATTCTCGGTCTTTAGAGTTGATCTCTTTCTCTTTCTATTTCCCTTATGTTCTCTATCGGNTTGTTTCTTTCAGAATATTTTGTCGGTGGATGTGTTTGTGTTTGTTATATCTCGTGTTTCTACAATATCTTCGTACTTTCATTGATGCGTAATTTCTTTATATGTTTCGAAAATGTTCAATGATTTGCCTCTGTTTGATCGAAAACAGTATCTTACTGAATAACCTTCTCTGATCGGGTTGAATTCATCTAATCTATCATATGTAGATTCTGAATGCCTCATCCTTGTGATTTTGACAATTGTCTGATTGGTTTCTTGTTGCGGCTGATTATCCAANTTGCATGAGTCTTTTTATATCCTTTTTCGTAATTAAGTTGCTCATATATCTTGTTTAAATCATTCTCATATAATAAGTTCCTTGTTGTTTAACTTATTTCCACAAACCACCAGATTTGGAGATTTGCAGGTGCACCACAATTACAATTTACGATCGCAACTCGCAAGTGTTCATAATTGTGGTTCATTCCGAGACCCACACGTCCAAACAATCGGACACATATGCACCAAAACTTTAAACTTCGAACTGGNATTCAAAGCGGCGGCCATGACTATGAANTCGTTTTCTATCTCTCTAATCTTCCTTACTTCCACCACGGCATGTCAAATTCCGTGGTATCAGCGTCGGAGGCGATAGTTGGCTCCGAAGGTCACATTTGCGATGACAATTTCAAAAACATATGTAAAATGGTTTAATTTTCTTAAATCACTTGAGTGCAAATGGAATGATGGAGAAACTAATAATTTTAATTCTCAGAGGAGGAGATGCATCTGTCGGAGAGAAACACATCTTTTGGCGAAAAGAGACCATGGAATAAGTTGTAACCTTCCGTGATCATCTAAAAAACAATGTAAGACACGTGTCATCACATCAAAGAACCGAACTCATCTTTTATAATATATATAAAATTCTACTGGGTGATGCTTTGTTTCATTAGAGAGAATACATGAGAGCTATTGTAAGATTAACTTAGCTCTTTCTTTTTATCTTATTATATGTTTCAATAAGAGTATAAATTCTTTTTTTTTTTTGAACAAAGAGTATAAATTCTTTATGTCTCAGTTCTTGCAAGTTTTATTACAGTCTCCCGTTCAAACTTTATATAGAATGCCAGGGATCACAAGTTCCGAGAAGAAAGTACAGCAGAGTAAAAGTGCTCATTAAGATTTTTTTGATTTATTGCTAAATGAAGGTAGAAAATAATAACTTACGTGCGGGTGGTATATAGTAAAAGGTCGTCGAAGCCCCCCGCGAAAATATGCAAAATCAAAGGGTGCATAGGGGTAAATAGGTAACTCACGTAAAGATAAGAGAATCGAAGAAACCCTAAAAGACCACTCGTATATAAAAGCTGCAATGCGTCTCTAATCC